CCCTCCCCCAGGGAGAGCATTAATCCATTCATGAGGGATCCACCCCCATGACTCAGTCAGTTTCCAACACTGCCACACTGGGGATCAAATTTCCACATGAATTTTGGAGGGGACAACACATCCAAACTCCATCATTCCACCCCTGGCCCCCCAAAACTCATGTCCCTCTCACATACAAAATACAATTATTCCATCCCAACAGTCCCAAAAGTCTTAGCTTGTTCCAGCACCCACTTAAAAGTCCAAAGTCTCATCTGAGACCAAAGGCAAAACTCCTTCCAGCTGTGAACCTGTAAAAATCAAAATCAAATTTTTCCACTACCAAGATAACAGTGGTGGAACAGACATTGGGTACACATTCCCATTCCAAAAGGGAGAAATAGGCCAAAGGAAAGGTGTAACAGGTCCCAAACAAGTCTGAAACCCAGCAGGACAGACATTAAATCTTAAAACTTCAAAATATCTTTGACTCCAAGTCCTGCATCCTGGGCACAATGGGGCATCTGGGCCCCCAAAGCCTTGGGCAGCCTCACCCCCACAGCTCTGCCAGGCACAGCCCAGTGGGCTGCGCTGGTGCCTGTGGCATTTCCAGGCCTGCATTGCATGTTACCTGTGGCCCTGCAGTTCTGGGGTCCTGGCGGCAGCCCCACTGCCTTGGCTTTACTAGACATTTCCCTGGTGGAGGCTCTCTGCGGGGGCTCCAACCTCACTTTTCTGCTTGGCATTGCTCTAGTAGATGGCCTCTGTGGCGGCTCCGTCCCTGCAGCGGGTCTCTGCCTGGACCCCAGGCTTTTCCAGATGTGCTTCCAGGCTCACCCATGTGGTGTTGGCAGGGCTCAGTCCTTTACCACGTGAGCTTCTTGCATGTGCCATGATTTCAATCCCTCACTGGAGTGAGCAAGCCACAAGAGAGCACCCAAGACAGCAGCCACAATCTTTTTACTACCTGATCTCACAAGTGACATCTCATCACTTCTGCCATATTCTCTTTATTTATAGTGAGTCACCTAATTCAGCCCACGCTCCAGGGAAGGGACTCACACAGAGTGTGGATGCCTGGAGGTGGGGTCGTTGGGGGTATCTTGGAGATTGCCTGTCATAGGCAGGATCGTAGGGTCAGAGCCTTTCCTTGCAAGTCGTGAGGGTGTGGGGTGGTTCTGGGCAGGGTGTGTCCAGCCCTGGCCCTCTTCCATTCCCCTCCTCCCCTGGACCTGACAGCCCACCCAAGGCCCAGGCCCTGCCTGGCCAGTCACTGGGTATGAGTGGTGGTCAGTCAGGGTGTGATCAGTGAGCTCAGGGGACCCAGAAGGACACAGCTGTTGCCGTGGCCTGTGCTGCAGCCACCCAGATGTGGGGCTGCTCCAGCCCAAGTCCCCAGGCACTGGTCCCACTGGCCCAGGACGTGTAGGAACAGTGATTAATACTCACATCTGAGTGGTTGGCCAAGTGCTTTCCCATCCTCTAGCTTAGGGATTCTCAATCTTTACTGTGGATCAGAATCACCAGTGGGTTCAAACACAGATTCCTGGGTCTGGCTCAAGCCTCTCCCCCAGGTCTGGTAATGTGGCTGTGAGGTGGGGCCTAGAATCAGCATTTTTAAGCAAGCAGCCCTGATAACTTTGTAACAGGACCATGAACTCAGACACAG